ATTTTCAACTTTTTGAGGAACCTCCATACTGTTTTCCAGAGTGGCTGCACCAGCTTGCATTCCCACCAACAGTGTAGGAGGGTTCCCCTTTCCTGCACCCTCGGGAGTATTTCCTGAGGGAGAGTCTGAAGCTTTTGCTTGACGAGAACCCTCCATTGGAAAGTGCCCCGCCCCCGCCGGCCCCAGAATGAGCAGGGGCCATGTTTCCATGGTGGCTGGTAGTTTCTCCTGTTCACTCCTTCCCACATTTCCAGATTCCCCATGTTTTACTGGGCGTTTCCAAGAGGTTTGGCCTCGGGTGGGCATCCCACGTGTCCCACTATTCCATAGCTTCCTGGGAGGCGCTGCCCCAACCCCCTGTGCCCCCGGTCTGCCCCACCCGGAATGATCCGGACGGCCCTTTGGGATGAGGGCTGCATGCCAGCCGCAGATACTCAGGCCTGGAGTGGGATGGATGCTCTTAAGGGAAGGGTGATCTTGCTGCTGCTCAGCTAGAAACATCTGGCACCTTGATGTGTTTTTGGATGTAACAGATTTGAATAATTCTAGAATGTGACGATTTTTTCTCTTAACAGTCCTCAAGCTCAGGGGAGGTGTCTAAAAAGCTGCCAGATGGATCTTTGAAAGATTCCAAAGCTGAAACAGAGGTAAACTTTAAAAAATAATTTCAAGGGACATAAACTGTGGCTGTGTTGACGTGGCGACTGCCATGCTGCGGTCTCTTCTAGTCTGTGGAGACCGGCGGCTGGGGACGTGGCGCAGGCTCACGCATGAGTCCCGGCTTCTGTGCTGGGCTCCTGGCTTTCCTCATACAGTTGTTTGACAGGTGTGACGTATGGGGTACAAAGGGATGGGGGAGTCATTTGGGAGAGGGTCTGGTGGAGCTTCAGGTGAGTCTGGGAGAGGATCCAGTCACCAGGCAGACTGGGACAGCTGAGATGCTGGAGGGATCCCTCTGAGCTCTGCTTGGCCTGTGTGGGGCCCCGTGGTGCGTGTCCTGTGGCTGGGGCGCAGCCGAGGCTGGGCCACATCATCTCCTCGTCTCCAGGCCATGGAGGTTAGACTCAGCCCAACTTTCCTAAAGCACTTTGCATTTTAGAGAACGCGTCCAGGCAGCTGCAGGGAAGACGGACCAGGTGCGGTGTGGAGACTGAGAGGCCAGCTAGGAGGGCATTATGGCAGGCTGAGCAAAACCTTATGGCTGGTGTGTGCTCTGTTTAAACATGTGTATGTTTGCACTCAGAATTGTCACAGATGCATGCGAGTAATTAGCATATAGCAAAGGAGATGGAGTTCTCATAAACACATCTGATAAGACGGTGCTTCTCAGTGTGGTTGGCGGATTGCTGGGCTTTGGAGAACTTTGCAGAAAGATGGATTTCCGAATTTAGAGTGAAGGAGGTCTGAGTGTCCTCTCTTCACCCTCAGGTCTGGGGTGCTGAGCTGGGCTCAGCTGGTATCCATTCCTCTTTAGGGGATGGTGGTGTTCTGTTTCCTCTTTGTTCTTCCTTGAGCAGAGCTTGACTAGTAAATCTACTCAAGGCATTGCTGCGTCATGCACCAACTAATTCTTTTCCATTCTCTTTTCTTTAAGACTGAGATTTCCACTAGAGCATCCAGGTCGGTGACAACAAAAGCATCAAAACGGCGATCCGAAAATTCCATGGAAGGTACTGCAGATTTATCATACAAGGAGCTGAAAATACGGATATTAATCACAGTATCTGGTAGAAAAAACATCCTGTGGCTAGAAGGCAGATCTGCCGTTGGGGGGGATAAACAGAGACTATGTGAAAAGGATGCAGATATGTCTCTCTCTCTCTCTCACGCACGCACGCACACGCACGCACACGTCTCCGCGTACGTGTGTGAGCCCAAGACACCAGTGGCCGGTAGTAGCACCTCTTTGCTGGAGATCTCTTGCAATCTAAAAGATGCGATCGAATTTTAACTTTCCGGAAACGGTTATCAGTCACCCATGTTTCACTGACTCTTGTCATTTGAAGTGGTGGACTTGAAAGTGATCCCGACTCGGTGGCCAGCAAGAGCATCCTGCTCGTGGGTGACGTTCATGCATTTAAAAAACAGCAGGACCGATCCCCGGGAGCCGTGCTACTGGGAGCTGAGGTTGAAGCGAACAGGCCTGGCCGGGGGTTTGCCCAAGGGTGGCACCGGTTGAGCCCGACCAACAAGCCGGACGGGGGGTCCGTCCAGGGCGGGCAGGTGCTGCTGGGGGCCGGTAGTGTTGCAGGTTTTCAGGTGAAGTGTGAGGTTACTTTGAGTAGTGGTAGTGTCTGAAACATCGTCCTTTTCCTAAATGGTAAGAGTTGGAGCCGCATGGCAGGAGTGCCGCAGTTGGAGTTTCTCATGTGGACGTTACGCTGAGACAGAAAGCCCCACTTCAGAACAGTACGTGAGGCTTTCGCGAGCTTGTCCCTCTGCGGGTGTCTCTGGGGACAGGGATGTTGGCGGGGTCGGCTGCGGGGTGAGCCGACCGTGCCCCCAGCCCTACACCTTTTCCACGGTGTCCAAGGCTTGCTGCTGAGTCTGGGAGGGGAAAAACGAACAGTGCTGTCTCTTTTGAATTGCTAGTGCAATTGTGCATTTTTATGTGTGTGAGTAATTTGTATTGGCTCCTCGGGCTTGTCTGTTCTCTGTGGGATTCCTCACTGCTGTGATGGCTGTTTCAGTGTTGTTCTTAATTGGCACAAGCTCACTGTATGTTAAGGACATCCGCCAGTTTGTCTCCCCCCCCCGCCCCAGTTCATTTCTGTTCATTATGTTAGTTCCTGATTTGCCTGAGTGTTTAATTTTTATGCACTGGAAATGGCCAGTCTTTTTTTTTTTTTTTTTTTTGTAGTTTGTCCAGAGATTTGAGAGATGAAGATTTGTGTTTTGTCATGCGTTTTTATATTTAATCTTTTTAGTTATTTCTTATTTTAATTCATGGTGTAAGGTGATGCTCTCCATTTCAGAGTAACTCACGAGGTGTTCCAGAATCATTAATTTTAAGCCCTTTTATGTGCTTACTCTTCCAGATTATTTTAAAACCATTGAGTCAAAGAATCTCCCCATCCACAAACAGAACTAATAAATTTATCAGGATTGGGGCGCCTGGGTGGCTCAGTTGGTTAGGCGACTGCCTTCGGCTCAGGTCATGATCCTGGAGTCCCGGGATCGAGTCCCGCATCGGGCTCCCTGCTC